AACCAGTATAAGCTTTGTCAGTATACCCACCTGGTACAACTTAGGAAAGGAAAAGAAAGGATTTAGCTTTTTCAGTATTTACAATAACCTTTTGCAGTTTGAATTGATGACCTTGTCTTACATTGTTAAATTAACATATTAAAAAGTTTTCCAATCATCTTGAAGTGGCCACTTTCTTCCCTTTAATTCAAAGTATATATCTCAAATAAAAGTAAGTATGCAAAGTACTTTCTTAATCCAGCATATAAATCCTTTAAAATAATGAAAAAATGTGTTTTTCTGCAAAACCACTCCCAGAATGACAGCAGTGACCCAAAACTGATGATTCAGTAAAAGACAGGAAACAGAAAGAGGAGGATTAAAGATTGAATAAGTGGATGCTAAGCAGTGGCAAGGAAAAATGACATATGTTACCGTCGGATGAAGAGTTGTTGCACGGAGCTGTCTCTCTGATTTAGCCTAGAGGAGAGGAATAATGGAAAATGACAGGGAGAGAGGAAAATATAAGCCTAGAGATGGTCTGATGGCAGTGAACATGCTCTATCTGGTTGAGATTGCATACAGACAAAAGTTACATAAATGGCCAATCTTTAATTTCTGACTGTCTTATTATTTGGACTATATATAAGGTATGCTGTGTGCGTTTGGATTCCTCCGAGCTGGAAGCAGGCCAGCTGGACTGGTGTTGAGTGAGGGCTGCTTGCATGTGGGCTTTGGTGAGAGAGTGAAGATGAAGGCGATAATGAGAGACACAGGATAGGAGCGTAAGGCTGTGTGTCTTTCAGAGTAAGGGTTAAAAGAATTTCCAGAACTCCCCCATTGTAGGACAATAAAGTGATAAAATAATAATAATAATTTAGAAACGCTTCTCTTCTTGCAGAGGTTTGGTTGAGGAAAGAAAAATACCCAAAAAGATTTTATGTAAAAGAAACATAAGCAAGGTTGTTAAATTAATTTATTTTTCAGCTTGTTGTTTAAGCAGTTTGTTTAGAGCGCTAACAGTATCCATTAAACCAGCTGCAATATAGATGCAATAGGTTAAAAGCTATAATTAGCTTTACAGCCTTAAGGTTGGTCACTGCTATCCTGGGGTTGGGTGGGGGTTGAGGGGTTGTCACCTCAGCTTTCAAAACACATATACATGGTGTCAAATAAATCGCATGCATCTTCAGCGTGTCATGAATGATTTCACTGACCAGCAGACTACTGATGCAACAGACATGAAATAATGTATGCTTGTTAAGGTGATTATAGGGGAAAAAATTTAAGTATTTTTCCTATTTTGGTTGTGAAAAACATTTAATTTAGCACTGATTATGTCCATAACTCTGGTCTTTTTACCAACTGAAAATAACAACTTGTAATGGGAAATGTTTTATAATGGTCAAATGGGAAATATAGTTAGTCTTTTTTCTTTCTCTGCTTGTTCTTTCTGAGGGACAAGTACATTCATAAAGAATTTATTATACTGCTAAATTTAGACTGCACAGTGAGAACTCCTACACCGAACAAACGCAGGCAAGAGATGGTGGAGATTCGTACTCAGGAAACAGTATATTGGGATAGGAATCTCTGTATACTGAAGTAAAAAAAAATTGAATTGCCTCATTAAACATTTGTGTTAATGCTCTCAGGATGTACCTACCTCTTTAAAGGCCAAGTAAAAATATCCGAATGAGGATGTAACATTTATAGACTGGTTATTCTTATGATGTGGTTCAAGCTCTGATACTCTTTTGCTCTTTGAAGTGTATTTGTCGTTCAAGTAATTGTGTTGATTATGAAAGTTGAAAGTATCTCCAAAACATTTGCCTTGTCATCCAAAAATATGCTAAAGTAAAGCATACCAAAGGGCTGGTTAGAATATTTACATCTCAATGAAGAAGAAACCACCAATGCCCTTTTCAAAGCACTCAGAAGGTTTCTGCATTACAGTAGTTTTCTTTTCCTCTTGCAGTAGTCATGTATGCACTGCAGATCCATTATTATATCTCTATCACAAGCGATTTCTCTGTTGTGGTAGAAGTGCAAACACTGTAGAAATGATGCTTTTGGAATCAAAGGCTTTTTTTTTTTTTTTGGTAAGACTGCAAGAAAATCCCCAAACTGGCCTTTGAAAAACCACTAAATTGAGAATTTCCTCTGATGCGCATTCTGCAGGTGGCTTTGTGATGTTTGTGTGGATGTGGTGTAGGTTTTTTGTTTTCCTAACCATTTGAGGCTGCTGGAAACATGCATCACTTCTTAGTATCAGAGATGATGAAAACAAAAACGCTTCTCTAGATATGGAACAAAGCATCTTAAATCTTCTTGAACAAAGAATTATTCAGACAATACGATTGCCGGCATCTCTAATATTTTCCATTTTTCTTCTCTCTTTTCCAGATCATGCCCCCTAGATAGCAGTCTCATCATCCTCTCCACTCCCCCCTCCCTTGCCCCTTCCTCTGCATTCCTGGTCCAGCACCACCACTGCCAGCTTCACCGCCGTAGCCACCATGCCCCCCAGGAAGAGGACGCGGGCGGGTCTGGGCTTCCTGTGCTGCTTCGGCAGCAGCGAGCCCCCAGAGATCAACCTAAAGGACACAGTGCCACTGCAGCTGCTGGAATTCAGCTCCCCGATGCCGCCAGCAGAGGAACTGAATGCACGCTTCTCTGAACTGGTGGTGAGTAAAGATGAAGTCTTTCTTTATATGATTAATAAACATTTTGAAGTTTGGCACCACATCTCCATACTTGATCGAGGCTGCTTCTCTATAAATCAATATATTCATGCAACATGGCGTGATGATCAGCCATTGGCTTTTTTTTTGTGTTGAAAGAGCCACAGTTGCTTGAATATCAGCCTTAAGGGCCTTTGAAAGAGATTCCCAAGACATGCCTGATTTATCACTTAGAAAACAGTCTATTTTTTAAGCCACTCCAATAATTTTTTTAACCAGTTTTATAAAATGCTTTCACAGAGGTCTCTAATGCAAGGGATGTGGCAGGTGCAGCTCAGATCCTGGATATGTGTGTATGTGTTTGCTGTTGAAGCTCTGACTGCAGCCTCACTTCACAACTCAGCAATCCCAAAAATCCTGTTGACTTGACATTTATTTCAAAGTTCCTGTTCAGTTTGCACTTTTTCGACCACACTTTTTTCCTTCCAGTCAACTTTCTGTTATTATCCCAGGATGAAGTTCCTGCTTCTTTTGCAGTTACCAGCTCTACCTTAAAGTCGTAGGGAAACGGCCGTTCCAACCGTTGCAGTTCGGAGTTCTCCCGAGTGGTGCACAATTTTACACAAGTGTAAAGAGAGTCAATGTGATTGGTCGTTTATCAAGAGGGCGGGATGGTTGTAGCTAGTAGGTTCCCAATGGGAAATTCCATTGGGACCAAGTAGCACTAAATTGGTGACTTAGAACTGACACTGTCAAGGAACGCTATGGACAAAGGAAACATGCAAGAGGAGGAGAGTTTTGTGTTGGAGGTCCGTCATACATTTTTTATTTAGAGGAGGAAAACGGGGACGAAGATGTTGTGGAAGAGGACGCCACGGCGGCAGAAGCTTGGTTTGGTGTAGAAGGCTTACAGCCGTACATGTTTGAGCCCTTGCCTCGCAACGCTGCCAGTTCTGTTAGCTCTACGCCTGCCGAAGACACAGACGTCCATCCCCGTGAACACTGGGACGGAACTCAATGGGAAAGTAAATGATTCTTATTTCAACCATATATTAGCTGCGAAATATGAATCAAGATGCTATGACCGAAAAAATTTGACAGATGACCTTTGATATATGATTGGCCGAATTTAGGTGTACAAGCTGACGTATAACTAACTGGCCTGCATAAGATAACAAAAAAAAAAAAAAAACAGATTAAAAGACATAATTTTTCATTTAAATTTTGGGACTGATAAAGAGTACATTTATATACATGTTGAAGCCAGAATGATTTGACTTTTAAATATGATATCCCTATGACTTTAAGACCTTTGTTGACTGGGTCTGTGACCGTGCATGACATGGAAATACAATAACACTGATGTATTAAAGTGTCTTCTTTATTGGGCTTATCCAATTTTTTTTAATATTAGACGACCGGTATTTTTGCCGCAAGCAAACACATCAATATTTAAAGAAATAAACGCTTGAAATGATAAACTCTGTATTGAATAAGTGCAATATCTAATAGGTATGTTTGATTTTTTTCAGTTGGCTTATTAAAATAAATAACATTGTCAGTGATCCTTAATCTCTGTGTAGAAAAAAGATTTACCAGTTGCCATTCACTAAAAGTTGAACAAGCCTCGACTTACTTTTTTCCTTCATGGCTTGCTGCCCCGATAGTTTGCGTGTTGCTCATTATCCTGAACAAATAGGATTAGAGGCAGGAATTAAAATGCTTGGGTCTTGCGGAAGTTGTCTTGATGGTTGGCTGAGGCCATGCCCCAACCCCCATCATCAAACTCAGACAAACACAGTCCACCTCCCGTGCACAGATCACACTTACTGGCAGGAGCTTAGTGCCTGCACCAGTGCCAGATGGGGATCGCTGTGCATGTGCCTAGTTTGTAGAGAGAGAAAGAGCGATCAGGGCACAGCTGTCAGAATGGAGAGATCAGCAGTGAGTTTCAGCTGCCATGCAGGAACAGGACAGTTCTGTGTCTGCCCGTTTGATCAGTTCCTGTCTCATGGTCGCTGTCGGTCTTGTCTGCTTCCATCGTTGAGCCCTCTAGCTCCCCTTCGGCCTTGGATTTCCTGCTTTATTCTGTTCCTCCCGACATTCTGTCTAATAGAGTGACTGCAGGACAACCTCAGGCGCATCTAATGTCTCGGAGAAAGCCAAAAAGTCAGTGTCTGTAGTATGTGTAACTTCACTGCTGATTTAAATTCAGTAGATGGAGAAACCTCTTTTATATGATTATAAATTATGCCTTTTTTCAATTAACAGGAAGGAAAAACACCATATTTGTAGTGTATACCCTGTTACAAGCCCTTATAAAGTGAAAACCACTAAATTCAGTTGCCACAGATATTTCTTGTCTGAATTGAGGAAAATGTAATGTTTTGCATTATTTGTTGTTTTGACTTTATTAAAAATGAGACTGTTTTCAGTGCTTCCTATCTGATCGTCATATGGGAGCATTTAACCAAATCACAGCAGCAATCCTCGTGGTTGAGAGGACTGAACAACCTGTGGCTTCTTCTTGAGGCAAACATCTAAAATTTAGATGAAAGCAAGACAGATGCCTAAGAGTCAGAAGGAAGAAGGACACCATTTTCTGCCTTGGATTTATAAAACCTCTTGTTTTCTTTCTTTAAGAAAAGCAAGAGGGTTTTAAAAGCACCAAATCACATCTCTTTTTGCACAAAAAAAAAAAAAAACTTTCTATAAATTCAGGTTATGATCCTTTCTAGCTATAAAGTTAGAAATAATTAAAGGAAAGTTACGTTGGTTGTCAGGACTCATTTCTGGATTTTCTTCAACCTACATATGCATGAATCTATTATGAAACCAAGGGTTCTTAATGTCTGTAACATTGATGTAGCAGCAGGCAACACGACATTTTTGACTGGTCATCCAAACCTTATTCAACCAGACCTCTTGGAGAAAGTCACTCTGTTTGTACCCCAAGCATTGAAAAGAGGTTGGGAGTTGAAGGGCATTAGTATAGAGTAATAATGCATATCATGGTGTGTTTCACTGGTAACCGGAATTATTGTTCTGAAAGTCTTCCCTGTCTGGAAGAATGGGACTCTGTAGAGTTTTTGGAGGGTGAATGACAGTCCCAGCCAGGTAAAAATAGGAGACCACCTACATATGTCCTTACAGCATAACTGGGTCTTTTTTACAGTGTCAGAACATGATGCATTGCAAAGTCAGCATTCACATCATCACCTGGCTTCTTGGTTTTCTATTTATTACTCAAGTACATTAAGTAGCAGCAAGGGTTACAAAGTTGACAGGGTGTGTATACTAGTATTTGTGAATACCTCAGTCTTTGTTACCAATTATTTTGTTACGGCATCTTTGCCACATTTATGGTCAATGCTTGAAGGATTTGCGACCAAGTGGATGTGATCAGGAACAGAGAAACAAATGGTCATTAGCGACAGACCTCCGAACTTCATGGGGCTTTCAGCTTATGTAAAGAGCTTTATTAAAATTTGGCATCCATGACCAAAGTGGTGAAACAAACCTTACATGACAAGAAGATTTGCGGTCTGACAACCTATTGGATGAGTCACGCCTTGGCAGCTAACTGTAAGAGTACTTTTGTTGTCCCAATTATCCTAAGTGTGAAGGTTGGTCGACAGGACGTTAAAGTGTGGATTTCCTTCAGAGGTTTGTTCAGTCCTTAATGCATCACGAATGAAGGAACAGCTGGGACAACTCATGGTCCAAACTATGTGGGGACAGCTTGTTGTTGTCCCCTTCTGATCCCACCTAACTGCACGCTAAGCCACAAAGCAAAGCCAAGGGATCTTGATAATGAGTGTGAGAAAGCCCTGCCCTCACACCAACAGTGCACTTTTTAAAATGAAATGAAGAGGAGACTATCTGAGAGTTGCCCTTTTGTTCTACATCAGTGCTTGACCTCACAAAGAGCCCAATAACATCTATTTCCATAAGCAGCTATACCTTGAGGATTGCCTTATCTATAGAATCAAAAGTGTTAAAGCTGCAAAGAGAAAGAAGTTTAATTTTAGAGCCCTTGTATTAGGAATGGGATGTTATGAAAGTGTTTGCTTATTTTTTTAAGTAAAATAATCAAATTACTCTGTGAACTACAATCCTGACTGAATAAATCCTGTCTTGAACTCTGCAAGAAAAGAACATCTCAAACCAAAACTCTAAGCAAATATGTCTTTTTATGTCATAAGGAAGATATGACCTATTGGACTTGTAATGAGGAAAAACTGACATTACAAATAGGTCTTAGTAGATTAATGATGTGAAGGCACAGGAAATGGATGCATGGGATCCATACTTGGCTCCCTTATGTAAACACTTAGGTCTGTTCTTTTAGATGCACAGCTCCACCTGAAGAAACTTGCAACTGACTTTGTCATAAACCATAATAAAAGCCCAGTGAGGGCCTGGAAACAATCGCCGCTGATTTTGACAGTGTAAGCATCACTTCAGTTAAACTATACAAATGGAATCTGGCAGAAGATGCCTGTGTTGCAGGTCTGCTGCTTGAATTACTGTTTAGCTCTAAGCTTTTTTTTTTTCTTTCTGCTAAAGAACTTCAAGGCTTGCATGTATAGTTGATAAACTGGCCATGTGTGAAGTCTGGCATCACACCAAAAAGCATTAACAGCTTTATTTTTGTTTGTCAGGACCATTCGCTGCCTATACCTTTTATCATCCAATGAGTAATTGCTCTCATAGTTTGATAATTTAAAGTGGGTTTGCCTGAAAAGTTTCGCTCCTTTGGTTCATTTCTCACTGGTGGCAGCTCAGTAAACCAAATTGAGTCTTTTGTTTCTACAAAGGGAAGCCATGTGTGAGGTTGTTCAGGGACAGCTAGACTTCCATTCACGCATTGAAGCTGATAACAATGAGTGTTTACTGTTAAAAAAAAAGAAAAGAAAAGAAAAATTGAACATATGGCAGTAATCTGCTTGGACCTTTATAAGTATGTAAAGGCCACATTTTACATTTCTATTTCTTTTTAT